GGAGGGGAGATGCAGGTTGAAAGTAGACTGGACTGAACATGTTTGCCACTCAATGCCTCTTTTGCTGATCACAACACCCAAAAGGAGAGAGAGAGAACAAAAGGGAATGCCCTGCCACAGTGGCAGGGGGGGATGGGGGGGATGGGGGGGGATGGGGGGGAGGGATATTATCCTGGTGTTGGAAAATGGGCACTGGTTGAGGAATGGGTATTTGATCATGGTATGACCGAAATCCAAGCACAAAAATTTGTAAATCTACAACTGTACCTCATGGTGTTTCACTAATAATAATAATAATAAAAAGAGTGCTGCAATAAACAGACAATTGCAGATGTCACTTCGATTATACTTTTTGCCTCTCTTGGATATATTCCCAGGAGTGATATTGCTGGATGAAATGGGAGCTCAATTTCTAATTTTTTGAGAATTTTCCATACTCTTTTCCAAAATGGCTGAACCAGTTGGCATTCCCACTAACAGTGAAGGAGTGTCCCTTTCTCACCACATCCACACCAGCACCAGCTGATTTTGTTCTTCTGGATATGAGCCAGTCTGTGAGGTGTGAAGTGATATCTCATTGTGGTTTTGATCTGCATCTCCCTGATGATTAATTATGTGGAGCATTTTCTCATGTGCCTTTTAGCCATTCGGATTTCTTCTTTGTGAAAGTTTCTATTCATTTCATCTCCCTATTTTTTGATGGAGTTGAATGTTTTCTTTTTGTGGAGTTCAACCAGTATTTTGTATATCCTTGAAATTAACCGCTTATCAAATGTGTATTTGGGGAATATCCTTTCCCATTCTGTAGACTGTCCTTGTATTTTGGTCACTGTTTCTTTTGAGGTGCAGAAGTTTCTTAGTTTAAGATAGTCCCATTTGTCTATCTCTGTTGAAAACATAATTTAATTTAATTTATTATGTGCTTTGTGAACTTTATCTTAAAGTTGGCAAACTGTGACGTGTTTTTTATTTTAAGTTATGTAATATTCTTCATTTGGGTTTTTAGGACACTGCGTTTTGCCTTCTGTGGAACATGGTCATTCTGATTATTCACAAGAAACACATTTGGAAGGAGAAACTGTGAAAATTACCTGTGATATAGGCTACAGTCTCCCAAATAATCAGAGGGGAATTACATGTACAGAAAGTGGCTGGTCCACTGAGCCTATATGCATTCTGTACCATAAGTAGAAATCTGTCATCGGCAATCTAGCATTTCTTTCTATTTATAAAGCAGGTGCTAGAAAATATGTACAGTGTAAATCTTGTTATTATTTTCATATTTTTACTATTAATAATACCTCAGTAGAGATAAGAAATCTCATTCTCTTTATTTGTGAGTCTTTTTAGTGATTTATCGATCTTGTTTATGAACTCTTGGTGTCATTGATCTGTCATCGTGTTTTGGGCTTCCATCTAGTTAGAAACTGCTCCAGACTTTAGTTTGAGCTCCTTTTGGGTTTTTTTTTTATGTGTGTGTGTAAAAATATTTAATAGTTAATTAAAAAACAATTTGCTACTGCTACATATACATAGTCATTTATCACTTATCACTTAACTTCCCATTAGTCGTCGATTTGCTCGAGTGGAAGCCAGTAACGTCTCCATTTGTCCCTGTCGCATGCTAGTGTAGCCCAATGGCATCTGTTCACTCTGGGAACATGAAGAGCCTCAAACCAATCATTCATGATCTTGATGAAGAAGTCTGACTATCTGGTAGGTGGGCGGCCACGCGGTCTTTTGACATTCCATGGGATCCAGTCGGTAACAGCTCTAGTCTAGTGGTCGTCTTTAAATCTCATTACGTGGCCAGCCCATCTGATTGTTGACACCTTGGCAAACGAAACAGCGTCCCTGATTCTTGATAGTCGACGGATGTCGGAACTCTGGATTCTTTCTCTCATTTAAGTGAAACGTGATATTCCAAGCATAGCTCTTTCAATTCCTCTTTGGGAGACCCGAATAGCATTCTCATACTGCTTACAAAGGCCCCAGGTCTCTGAGGCATATGTTAATGCAGGAAGAACAGTAGTGGAATCAAAGAGATGTGCCCGGAGCCAGAGGTTCTTCGTCCTCTTAGCTGTTTCTTCGACGTTCTTGAAGGCGTTCCAAGCTGCTCTCTTCCTCCTGCGCAGCTCGGGTGCTAGATCATTTGTCATGTTGACTTCTCGACCTAGGTACACATAGCTGTTGCATTCGGAGATGGTCGTTCCGTTGAGAGCGAATGGGGCATCAGGAACGAGGCTGTCTCTCATAAACATTGTCTTCGTAAGATTCAGCTGTAGTCCTACCTTTCCACACTCACTTGGTATGTTGGCAAGTGGACATGGCTGTCTGAGTTCATCATGTCGACCAAGACCATTCATGGTAACTCACAGTTCCAGAAGGCAGAATCTAAACATTGGACATGGGAGTCTCCCGATGGACGATTCCACAACGAAATAGACCACATCATATTCAATCGATGGTTTTGCCTGACTGATGTCCCAAAATTCCGAACGGGATTGGACCACCGTCTCCTTCGTGCAAAATTCTACTTACAAAGCGGGGAGAAAGGGCTGCAAAGTTTAAAAAGAGAACTCCCAGAACGACCACCAACTGGGAGCTCTTTGGCACTATAGCGGCAACATGGGAAGATGCCATTGTTGACAACATTGACGAGGAATACGATCGACTGGTTCAGCACCTCCATGATTGTGCGAGGAATACCAAGATAGAGATAACCACAAAAAAAGTCTGTCTTCGAAAACTCTTGAGCTTATTCACCAACGTGGTTTTGAGCATGCCTCAGGCAACCGCAAGCTAACGTCCGAGCTCGCAAAGCAGTGCAGAGATGCGATGAAGGAAGACCTCAAATTGAGAAGAGCAGAAGTGTTGGTAGATGCGGCAGAAGCCGGGAAATGTATTCATAACGCCCGCCTGTCCTTCGCCAACTACAAGACCAAGATGACTGCCCTCCAATGTCCTGATGGATTCATCACATCCTCCAGAACGGCAATGGAGAAGATTATCCATGACTTCTACTCAAATCTCTTCCATAGCCATATACATAGTAAAGCATATTAATAAAGCAAATTCTAGTGTAACTATGCTCCACCTTATTTTTTTAAATTTTTATTAGTGAAACACCATGAGGTACAGTTGTAAACTTACAAATTTTTGTGCTTGGATTTCAGTTATACAATGATCGAGTACCCATCCCTCCACCAGTGCCCATTCTCCACCACCCCTAATCCCAGTATCCCTCCCACTCCCCATCCCCCCATCCCACCCTGCCTCTGTGGCAGGACACTCCCTATTGTTCTCTCTCTCCTTTTGCGTGCTGTGGTTTGCAAAAGAGAAATTGATTGGCCATCTGTTTGGTCTATAGTCTACCTTTTAGCATGCATCTCCCATCCTGGGCGGATCTTCTCAGCACCCTTTATTTGGTGCTCCCTTCACTATGTGAGCTGCCTTCAGTCCTAGAGAGTGAGGCTGGCCTTCAAGCCATGGAGTAAATCTCCTTTTGTTGGTCAGTTTCCAAGATCTTAAATTATGATTAAATTATTTCTACGGGCTCTTTCTTTCTTCCTGATGAATGCTAGTAGAGCCAGAGACTTTCCTCTTAATACTGCTTTTTCTCTGTCCCACAAGTTCTGGTCATTTGTGTGTTTATTCTCCTTTGTTTCCAAGAATCTTTGGATTTACACTTTGACTCTCTCTCTAGGTCACTGGTTTTTACTAGTGATTTGTTTAATTTTTATGCTTGGTTTGATTCTCCATTTCTGGGTCTGATTCACTTCTATTTTCAGTTTTTCATTGTCCAAAAAGATAGTTGAAATCATTTCTATCTTCTTAATTTTCTGCAGTTATGTTTTATTGTCCTGTGTGGTATATCTTGGAGAATGTCCTGTGTGCACTGGAGAAGTGTATTCAGCTTTGGGGTAATGAAAATTCCTATTTATATCAACTCCTTCCTCCTCATCCATTTCTTCTCTTCCCAAATGAGTTACAATCTTAATTAGGACCACTTATGAGTGATGAGTTTTTTTGCTTACTTCACCTTTGCCTCTTTTTCTTTGGGGTTGTCACTTTTATTAGGATAAAGTTCAATATGTATCTCTAGGTCTAAGTTCAATCTACTTGGAGTTTGCTGAGATCCATCTATATAAAAAAGTGTTTTATCAATTAAGAAGATTTCAACTATCACTTGAATAAGAATTCATTTTTCTTAATAAGTCACGGTCGTCCTGTTATTCATCTATTGGCTCAAGCGGGCCCAGTAATGTCTCCATGGTGAGACTTGTTATTACTGTGTTTGGCATATTGAATACATCAAAAGTTGCTTGCCAGGCTTTGCTGTGCAGGCGAGATACTCTCGGTAGCTTGCCTGGCTCTCCGAGAAGGGCGGAGGAATCGAACTCAGGTCGACCATGTTGGCCTCTTGCAAGGCAAATGCCCTACCTGCTATGCTATCACTATCTTCCTCAGGTGTAACATCCATTGACCTATGGAGATCATTCTCTCTTCTGTTATAATGTTTTGTTTAAAGACCTCCATTTGCAATAATTTAAGAGTTCTTCAGGCATCAACTTCTTTTCTTTTTCCCCAAACTAATTTTCTTGCATCAATATCTTAAATATAGAAAAATTAAAGTTGACCAATTCTACAGCATTTTTAAAATAGTGTGTCATGTCCTTAGTCTCATTATTTTAATACAAAAAAAAAATCTGGGGACGAAGAAGACCCCCGCAGTGCTGGTTCCTAACATAGAGCTGCGACGGATGGGAAAAGGGACCACAGAAGGCCCTCGGGAACTGCCCTTTGCCCTCTGCCTATCCAATCCAGGTATTGCTGGGCACAGGAGGTCTTCCCAGAGCAGTGAGACTGAGACTATTGGTGCAGAACCCATTCCTAACATAGAGCTGCGGGAGACAGAAAACAAGAACGCAGAAGTCTGGCAGGATCTGGCCTTCTTCGACCGAATCAATAGAGGTATTGCTGGCCATAGGGGCCTTTCCAGGGCCGAGGGACTGAGAAGGCCCGAGCAGGGCCGGTTCCTAACATAACGTTGGGAAGGTTGGCAACCAGAAATGCAGAAGGCCCGCAGGAACCGCCCATTGTCCTCCACCCATTCAATCCAGGTATGGCTTGGCACTGGGGGCCTTTCCAAGGCCATGATACTGAGACTACTGGTGCAGGGTCCATTCCTAACATAGAGAGGTGAGAGACAGGAAACAGGAATGCAGAAGACTGGCGGGAACTGGCCTTCCTCCTCGACGAATTCGATAGAGGTATTGCTGGGCACAGTGGGCCTTTCTAGGGCTGAGGGACTGAGAAGGCCTGAACAGGGCTGGTTCGTAACATAACACTGGAAAAAAATGGGAAAGGGGAACCCAGAAGGCGTGCGAGCACCAACCTTTGTCCTTCGCCTGTCCAATCCAGGTATCGCTGGACACAGGGGGCCATTCCAGAGTAGCGAAACTGAGACTACTGGTGCAGGGCCCATTCCTAACATAGAGCTGCGAAACACAGGAAACGGGAATGCAGAAGGCCGATGGGAACTGCCCTTTCCCCTCCGCCAATTCAATACAGGTATCACTGGGCACTGGGGGTCTTTCCAGGGCCATGAGACTGAGACTACTGGTGCAGGGCCGGTTCCTAACAAAGAGCTGTGAGAGACAGTAAACGGGACCTCAGAGGGCTACAGAAACCGCCCTCTGCCCTCTGCCCACGCAATCCAGGTATTGCCTAGCACTGGGGTCTTTCCAGGGCGCACCCAGAGTTGTTCTCCTCCTCTTACCCCATAAGAACCAGAAGTTAGTCTCTTATGTGGAACATTCACTGCAGCACTTTAATCAACAGAAACACATTAAACCAATAACTCATTACGCACATCTCAATTAATAGTACTCCAAAAACACAATAGTAACAGTGAGCGTGAAGGTGTAAACGACACAGGTCAACAATGGCAAAGCAATGCAGAAGCTTACTTAGTGGAGAGACTAGCTCAGATGACCCCAACAGTAATGAAGTGCTAGGCAACCTCTCTGACAGGATTTAAAAGGGAGTTTCTGATGATGCATATGGAGCTAAAAGACGCAATGGAACAAAGCACCAATAAAATGCAGGAGAATTTTAAAGTAGAAATGGGAAAAATGCAATCAAAACTACAAATGGAACTGACAGATGTGAAAAACCAGGTAAATGAATTGAAAAACTCTATGGAAGGCCTCATGAGCAGAGTAATAGCTGCTAAGAATAAATAAGTGAGCTTAAAGATCAACTGCAGAGACACTCCAGAAAAGAGCAGAAAATGGAAAAGAGACTCACAGTCAGAGAACAGATGTCAAGAGAAGATAGGGATGAAGCCAAAAGGAATAACATAAGAATTATTGGAGTCCCAGAGGGACAAGAAAAAAACCCTGATGAAGAAGAATCTGTCAAAGACATCATTGCTACAATATTCCCAGAGCTAAAGAAGATATACAACCACATTCAGGAGGCCAGAAGGGTTCCAGCTAGAAGAAACCCCCCAAAAAAGTACCCCAAGACACATCTTATGAAAATGAGGAAAACTTTAGACAGAGAAAAAATTCTGAAATCAACAGAATTAAAGAAAAAATTGCCTATAAACGTGCATCCTTAAGGCCTAAAGCTGACTTGTCTGATGAAAACTTCACGGCTGGAAAACAGTGGTGGGATATAGGGAACAAACTCAAAAAAATAAATGCATCACCAAAAATACTTTACCCAATTAGACTTATTCATATCAGAAGGAACGACACACAGTATCAGAGACAAACAACAGGTCAGAGACTTCATAGACTCAAAACTATGGTTACAAGAACAACTAAATGGGCTAATTTAAGACAAAACAAGCCCCACAGATATACCAAATTTTTGCAAAAAGATGAGACAAAATCATATAACAATAATCTCTTTGAACATCAATGGTATAAACGCATCAATTAAAAGACACAGAGTGGCCGGATGGATCAGAAAATTGAACCCAACATTCTGCTGCCTGCAAGAAACACATCTGAACAGTCAGAGCAAACAGACTTAGAGTCAAAGGCAGGAAAACAATTCTACAGGCAAACAATGCCAATAAAAAAGCTGGGGTGGCCATTCGGTATCAGACGACATTGATTTCAAACTGAAGAAGGTCACAAGAGACTTGAAGTTCATTTTGTGTTGATCAAGGGATCTTTACAGCAGGAAGAACTTACACTCATAGGTATATATGCACCCAGTGAGGGACCAGCAAAGTGGTTAAAGCAACTAAACAGAGACTTGAAGGAAGACATTGATAGCAGCACAATACAAGTGAGAGAAAATGCAGAGAGCATGATGAAATGTACAGAGGATGGCTGGTCCCCCCCTTCCAGCTGCATCCATACCAGTAAAAGGGACCTCAATTTTTATGTTCCTTTTTAAACTGATATATATCAATTACACATAGTTCATATCAACTGTTTCCTTCTTTTTACAATGGGCTGATTTAATTGCTAGAGTTTCTATGTGTGAATATACACATTTTTTATAAGCACACAACAAAATGTGTCAGGTAAGCATTGAGGATTGTAGCTAGTCTTTTTTGAAGGTTTGGTGAACTTAATAGTGAGCCTATCAAAACCTGAAATATTGTTCTTCAGGGACATCTTAAATCGCTCTTTCAATGTACTTTTGTATGATTGGTCTGCCAGGTATTTCCTTTGCTCTCTCATTTTTACCTCTTCCTAAATAATTTTTGGGAGACTGCAGGGTTCTAAGATTGCATTCTTTTCTTCAAGGTTCTCCAGCTTAGTGGCATAGAGTTTTTCCACAGTAACCTCTTATGATGTTTCACATTTACTTTTTTGTCTCCCTTTTAAAACATGTTCACAATTATACATAGAATTTGAGGGATTTTTTTATGAAGCTGACATTACATATTCCTTATATAAGTAAACACAATATAAGTGCAAACTGGGATATATAATAGCATACAGTGAAACAATCGGATCAAATACATTCATCAGAATGGACAATGACTTTAACGTATATTCATTAGTGAGTCATTATATCAGCATTAATTATCTTAACAATAGTTCTACAAAGCTTACTTTAACTTACTGCTTCTATAATGGGGGAGAGCATGCTGATGTACCTCCATTTAGGAGAAAAGTTGTAAGTCTTTACATTTTTGCGTTTTTAAATAAACTGTCAGTAAAATATCAGCCCATCTTTCAGTTTCAGTTATTTCTGTTATACAATGTATTTTTGGTTTAGAAACTATTAAGTATTACTTAGAAACTAGTGGCCCGGGGAGAGAGTACAGCATACAGCACTTGCCTTGCACCCAGCTGACTCATCCCATATGATTGCCTAAGCCTGCCAGGAGTGATTCCTGGGGGCAGGGCCAGGAGTAAGCCCTGAGCACTGTTAGGTGTGGCCTCAAAATCAAAAATCAAAACCAGAAACTTATGTGTATACTTGTTCGTATTGAACATTTATACGAGAGATCTATGTTATTTACAATTTCTGTTTTCAGCAGAGCAAAATTCATGCAGTTTTTGCTCCCCCAAACTAAAAATTATGCCTTAAAAGTTAAGATACATAACTTTTTATGGTACATAACTTTGCAATTATATATATAACACAATTTGTATTTTAAGTATTGCAGCCTAGACACACTCTGGAAATATGACTAATACTAGAAAGTTTTACTGAATTTATAATTAGTGGAGACAGAAAAATCTCTAGATACGACCAAATAAATACTGTTTTAAGGTGTTTCCTTGTACAATACCTTGATGCTTATTATTATTTTCTGAAAATAGTTTCTCAATTTATTTTGTGTTTTCTCAAATATACTCAGTGATTATATTATCTTGATACTTAAGTGAAAATAATAAAATATACATTTCAATGTTTTTATTTTATTTCTTTTTCTTACATTATATGCTGACAATGAATAGTAATTAAAGAAATTATGAAAAATTTGCCCCACACAGTATTTAGTTAGAGCAAATTGTTATCAATTAACCAATACAATACATTTATTATAAAGAGAAAATGCCTTTAGCGCTTATACTAGAATAAACATATATACTAGCTTAGCTAGTATACTTCTACAAGTAATCTGTATAATAGTATAATTAATTAATAAAAATTTATTATACAAAAATAATTATATTGATAACTATACTAGTATAATAATACTTACTTTACTAGATTTTATTATATTTATAATAATAATATTTCATAATTCATAATAATCATACTTATTTTCCTAAGGTTGCAGCGTTAGTACAGCGGGTAGGGCATATGCCTTGCAAATGGCCAACCTTTGTTCAATTCCTCCGACCCTCTTGGAGAGCCCAGCTAGGTATCAAGAGTATCTCACCCGTACGGCAAAGCCTTGCAAGCTGCCCGTGACGTATTCAATATGCCAGGCACAGTAACAACAAGTCTCACAATGGAAACGTTACTGGGCCCGCTTGAGCAAATCAATAAACAACGGGGGGACAGTGCTACCGTGGTACTAGTTTTTACTTTCTAAGAATTAATCTGTCAGGATATCTAGCAAATTATATCTAACATAGAGATGAATACAAAATATTTATCAATAATTTACTGATGCACATATAGTATTTAACAAAATATTTGACAAGAATACCTTTATTAAAATCACTGTAGTCCAGTAAAAATGAAAAATGACATTTTTCCATTTATATTTTTTTCACTACTTATAAATAATAAGACTATATATATTCAACTTGGTAAGTACGAAAGAATACATTTCCATTAGCAAAATATTTGAGAAAACAAAATAAGTTTTGTTTTGAAAACTCATATATTAAAAAGTAGAGTTTCATAAAATGACAATTTAATTGCATTATTGAAAATTAAACTTCTCATTTAATTGAAACATTTTATTCTTGCATATATTTCACAACTATTATGATTTGGAATCATAATTCAAAAAGTGTTATATTTATAATCTCCTACAGAATAAAATGTACTACAGAATAAAATGTATCTATAATGATTCATGTTTTTAATTTGCATGCTTATATACATAAATATAATTAAATTGGTAAATGTGCTTCAATTTTTCAAGGCAGTTAAAAAAAAAACCTGTCTTTTCCATCTTGTGTAACATTCAAGGCAATGGTTTATCACTTTTGTTTTCAGATTTTTTATTTTGATACTCTAAAATCACATGCTAAACAACTCACTATTACCACTTTGGAGTAAGAGTTGCTCAACTAAATTGCCTCTAAACAACATTAGAATGAAATACCTAACTCTATCAAGCTTTAGAATTCTGTTATAGACCAACATTTGAGAATGCCAGAACACAGAGTCGTGGCAAACGGTTTAAGGTCAATGACCATCTGGAGTATGACTGTAACCCTGGATTTGAAAACAAACATGGAAACACCTCAGGGACCATAGTATGTGGTGACGGTGGCTGGTCTGATACACCAACATGTTTTGGTAAGTTCCATTTTTCAGCTGTTCTTTCTGAGAATATCAAATGAGCACATTCCTCGAGTTATTTGCAAGGAATGCTTATTTAAAAGTATTATCTTCTGATTTGATATAAACTAAAAAGAGAGTGTTTTAAGACCAAGAGATAAATAATCAAATCACAACAAATGGCTGCTTCCTGGAGAGGGCCATGTAAAGATTAAAGAATGTGATTAAAGAATGATTATGTTTGTCACCGAAGTGCAAGTTTTCATGTTGTTTAAAACATCATGCTTTATTAAATTTTGACTTCTTTCAACTTCCTCAGTTATTTTACAACAAAGTTGTGGCTTGCATCTCCCCACTAAAAATTAATGTATAAAAAAAGTTGTGATATAGATGCACACATATAGGGTTCCGAAAAGAATTCAGCAAGATAGACCATATCCACATGATAACCAAGCTCACTGAGATTTCTCGGGAGTTCAAGATGCCACTCTGTTTAATGGTCATTGATATAAAGAAGGCCTTTGATTCTGTTGAGACGGATGTAGTCATTGAAGCCCTAGCCAAACAGGGTGTTCAAACTGAATACATCAGGATCCACCATGAGCTATATTACAGATTCACTACCAGGATCTCACCGTGCTACAAGGAAGTGATCATCCATTTCAAGAGAGGAGTTTGGCAGGGTGATACCATTTCACAGAAACTCTTCAGTGCCAGTCATTTGCAACGACTAGAATGGTAAGGAATGGGAGTGAAGAAAGATGGTTGGCAACTATACCACCTCTGCTTTGCTAATGACATTGTGTGAAAAACAGCAAATATTAGCCAAGTGGCACAAATGCTGGCCGACTTCAACCGTGAGTTTGGAAAGGTTGAAGGTAGACCACATCTAAACTTCACAGAGACAATGTTTAAGAGAAATGGTCTCGTTCCGCACGTTCCATTCGCTCTCAACGGAATGACATCTCCAAATGCGACAGTTATGTATACCTAGGGCAAGAAGTCAACATGATGAATGACCTGGCAGCTGATTTGCATAGGAGGAAGAGAGCAGCTTGGAATGCCTTCAAGAACATCGAAGAAATAGCTAAGAGGACAAAGAACATACAACTCCGGGAACATCTCTTGATTCCACTGTTCTTCCTGCATTAACATATGCCTCAGATACCTGGGCCCTACGAAAACAGGATTAGAACGCTATTTGGGTCTCCCAAAGAGGAATCAAAAGAGCTATGCTTGGAGTATCATGCTTCACTCAAATGAGAGAAAGAATCCAGAGTTTCGGATTCTTTGTCAACAGTCAAGAATCAGGGACACTGTCTCATTTTCCAAGGCATCGAAAATCAGATGGGTTGGACACATAATGAGATTTGGAGTTGACCGCTGGAATAGAGCCGTTACTGACTGGATTCCATGGGACGTCAAAAGATCAAGTGGCCGCCACCTATGAGATGGTCTGATTTCTTCAACAAGACCCTGAAAGATCGGTTTGAGGCTCTTTTTGTTCCTAGAATGAGCAGATGCCATTGGGCTACACTAGTAGTGACAGGGAAGAATGGAGACTTTACTGGCACCTGCTTGAGCAAATCGATGAGTAATGGGATGTCAAGTGATCAAAAGAGATCAAGTATTAGATGCACAATGGATACTATGCAGTCACAAGAAAGATGATATCATATAGTTCACTGCAAATTGGAACTGGAAGGTATCATGTTAAGCAATATAAGTCAGAGGGAGAAGGACAAATACTAGGAGATCTTATTCATCTATAGTATATAGAAAGACAAAACAAGGGCATAGGCAATATTAAACAATGACAAACCCTTGGTCTTGAGTTACAACATTCCAATTACAGAGCATTAGGAAAAGATTGGAGAAATGCAGAGGTGAACTTGAAGTGAACTAGAGGCAGACAGTCTTGAGCACTTTGCTGGTGTGAAGGTGAAAAAGTCCTGCACATCAAACCATAAATGCTAACATTATTATAAACATGCAGCTTACTCTATAGTTAAATAATACTTAACGATATGGAAGAATTTGATGAACAAAGGCTAAACAGAAAACAAAGAGAAAATGTCCCTAAGGCGACACTTGTAGTGGGCAAAGGAATGTTTAGTAGTCCTTGGAAGGTATAAATGGCTGGGATAAAATAGGTTGAGGGCTGAGGAGACACATCAGAAGACATATTCGAGTTCTGTTCTGGCATTTTTTTACTATCAAGTATTAAAGTCAAAGTTAAGGAATCATATGACTGATTTTAAACAATCAGGTAAATAGAAATACAATTTTTAGGTGGTTCTGGCTTGAGAGAGAGGAATGTGAAATGGTTTCACTGGGGAGGAATGTAAAATGTTTTCACTGGGGCACAGTTTGACTGAGTTAAATGTGAAAAATATAAATTAGATATGTAAGATACAGAGCTGAGTATATGGAGCTAATTAGAAACATACATTTATCATCTACGTGTAAATCATGACATCACAGTGGAAATTTATACACGATTTAAGGAGAGGATCTCTTGAGACTGAACTCTATGAAGCATTTCAATGTTTTACGTCTGATAGACTAAGAACAGAAGGCAAAACACCCCAAAAATTGGACCTCAGAATTGAGTGAAGTAACTGTAGTATTCAAAGTTCTTACAATAAAATGTTGGCGAATAGGGAATTCTAATAGAGTAATTATTAGTGAAACCAATGCAATGGGGTTCTAAATCCAATTTCATTACTAAGCATGTTTTGTAGAGCAGCAATGAAGACTAGTTGAAGATCATTCATTGTTCCTTTTCTGTAAAATGTTTAAAATTTATTAACGTTCTCATACTTCAAAAGATTATTTTGGCTATTAGGTATTGCTATAATATTTTTGAGACAGTCTGATTCTGATGTTAGGCAAAAGAAATTTATCTAATTAATTATTATAGTAGTTGGACTGGTGCTTTTTCTAATTCAGTCAATAAAACCAGTTAGAATATAGCAAATATGTAGTGCATTTGACCAAAAGTAAACAACTGAAGCAATTTTGGTGAAACAGGGAGGACAGAATGTTCATAGAATCCCGTGAAGAAAAATAATCAGTAAGAGATGGAAGCCAAGAGAGTCTAAAAGAGTTTTAAAAGCACCGCTGTAGCATCAACAAAAAAAATGCATGAAACTAAACCAAACAGCATCACACAGAGTTTTTGAGAGGAAATACGTTCACCAGCTAGCACAGCTATCAATTTGGGAAGATATGACTCTGAGGAATGCAGAATAGATTCCCTATATAGAGGAAAGGGTGCAGAGACTGGAAAGGAAAGTGAACCTGCCATCCTTTCCTGTAATGAAAGCTACGATCTTAGGCAAAGATGCTAAATTCAAGGTTTTGCAAAATTTTAGCTATAATTTAACAGTCTCTGAGTTGAAAACAGACCCAGATCTGGTTAATCCTAACACTGGTGAGGTAGGACACTTCCCCTGATATCCAACCCACAAGCACGGTTTCAACCTCAACTCTCAGTATATGAGTTCCCTGATGTAGGTTTGCTGATATAGACTTGACACAATGGACAGGTTTACAGTGAGGACTCAGTACAAAGATTTTTAAAGTGAATGAAGCTTTGTATCTGTACTTGCTAAGTCAAAGAGTCTTGGGAATTGTACCCAAAGAAACCGAGATGAGGTCATATGTGCTTGAAGAAGCTATCCCCAGGTTAAAATGTAAACATGCCCTACTATCTACTAAGATTAGCTTGGAATATGTGACCAATATTCTGTCACTTCCCAATATTACTACATTGGAAGTCAGATCTAGCAACTGTGATCCCTGACCAAGTAGATTTTGGTGCTATAGCAACTATAAGACATTGGTGACCATAAATTCCCTGTTGTCATTTAGGTGCACACAATTCAAAGAAGTAGACACTGATTAGATACTGCAAACATTTAACAAATTATCTCAAGGTAATCCATGGCTGCCAGAAACCACTAGAATTATAGGAATCAGCTAAATATTGTGAATGAAGCACTGGGTTTATTCTCGGGAGAGTTAAAAGTGTGCCCTCCACACTTAACTGCCATGAAATGCCTTTCCAATAAAGCCAGCCACACAGAAAATAAAATGGGCCAATCAGGAGTAAGGACACTGAAAAATAATTTAAAATTTCCCCAAGAACAAATGCCCAGGTCCTGATGAACACTAATATGTTCTACCAAAAGTTCAGATAGGTCTCACTATCTGTACTCGTGAAGCATGTCCAAACTATTAAAGAAACAGCAATCCTTCCTAAAATCTTATGAACTTAATATTACCCAATACCAAAGCAAACAGAGATATTACTGAAAAAAATTCCAGATTGATATCTCTGACCAACTTTGACGCAAAATCCTCCACAAAAATCTTAGTGAGCTAAGTTTAACAATATATCATCATGATCTAGTGGAATTCATTCTAAGAATGCAAGGATGGTTCAGTACATGGAAATCAATTAATGTAATAAATCCAAAAATAAAGATAAAATCATATGAGTTTCTAAGATATTTGACCTAAATAAAGGTAATGTATTTTGACAGACGTGAGTGTGGAAAGGTAGGACTACAGCTGAATCTTACGAAGACAATGTTTATGAGAAACAGCCTCGTTCCTTACGCCCCATTCGCTGTCAATGGAACGACCATCTCCGAATGCAACAGCTATGTGTACCTAGGTTGAGAAGTCAACATGACAAATGACCTGGCACCCGAGCTGCGCAGGAGGAAGAGAGCAGCTTGGAATGCCTTCAAGAACGTCGAAGAAATAGCTAAGAGGACGAAGAATCTCCGGCTTCGGGGACATCTCTTTGATTCCACTGTTCTTCCTGCATTAACATATGCCTCAGAGACCTGGGCCCTACGCAAACAAGATGAGAACGCTATTCAGGTCTTCCAAAGAAGAATAGAAAGAGCTATGCTTGGAATATCACGTTTCACTCAAATGAGAGAAAAAATCCGGAGTTCCAACATCCGTCGACGATCAAGAATCAGGGATGCTGTCTCATTTGCCAAGGTGTCAAAAATCAGATGGGCTGGTCAGGCAATGAGATTTAAAGATGACCACTGGACTAGAGCTGTTACCGACTGGATTCCACGGGATGTCAAAAGACTGCGTGGCCGCCCACCTACCAGATGGTCAGACTTCTTCATCAAGATCATGAACGATCGGTTTGAGGCTCTTCATGTTCCCAGAGCGAACAGATGCCATTGGGCTACACTAGCACATGACAGGGACAAACGGAGACGTTACTGGCGCCCGCTCGAGCAAATCAACAACTAACGGGAAGTTAAGTGATTAAGTGATAAGTGATTTTGACAGACAACGTATGTATACACACATATGATATTGCTGACATACATTCTTAAAAAAGTATTCAGATGCAAGAAGCATTTTCTAAATCAATTCATGTAGCACTGTACTGTCATCTGATTGTCAATCGATTTGCTTGAGCAGGGACCAGTAACGTCACCATTGTGAGACTTGTTGTTACTGTTTTTGGCATATCAAATACACCACGGGGAGCTTGCCAGGCTCTTCCGTGTGGGCGGTATATTCTCGGTAGCTTGCCGGCCTCTCAGAGAGGGACTGAGGAATCGAACTTAGGTCGGCCGCATGCAAGGCATAGAACAGTTTGAAGTTGAGGAAGGTGTTGTCTCCCATATTTTTCCCAAGGATTGCTTTAGGTATTTGTGGAGACTTATTGTTCCTTATGAATTTCAGGAGTATTTTGTGTATTTCTTTGAAAAATGTCATGGGTATCCCATAAGGACCACATGGAATCTGTAAAAAGCTTTGGGGAGTATTGCCTTTTTGACAATGTTAATTCTCCCAATCCATGAACAGCGGGTGTGTTTCCATTTCCTCCTGTTCTCATATTTCTTGAAGTAGAGTTCTGTAGTTTTCTTTGTATAGGTCATTTACCTCCATAGTTTAGCTGATTCTAAGGTGCTTCATTTTCTGCGTCACAATTGTGAACAGGATTGTTTTTTATTATCACTTTCTTCTCTTTCATTATTTGTATATAGGAGAAACATGAACTTTTGGGTATTGATTTTGTAACCTGCCACTCTATTATACTTACCTATTGTTTCTAGGAGCTTTTGGCAGAGACTTTAGGGTTTTCTAAGTACAGTATTATGTCATCTGCAAATAGTGAGAGTTTGACTTCTTCCTTTCCTACCCGGATGTCCTCAATATCTTTTCTCTTGCCTAAATGCTGTGGCAAGTACTTCTAGTACTCTATTGAATAGTAGTGACAAGAGTGGGCAACCTTGTCAGGTACCTGATCTTAGTGAGAAAGCCTGTGGTTTCTCCCCCTTAAGAATAATACTTGCTGTGTCCTTTTGGTAGATGGCTTTGACTCCATTGAGTACATATAGTGTATTTGACTATATTGAAGTTCCTTCAACTGCCATTTTGTTGAGACTTTTTATCATGAACGGGTGCTGGATCTTGTCAATGGATAAAATTCATGTATCGACATATATTTAGGCTTTCAATAACACCTTCCCATGTTCTAGTTATAAATGTGATTCCAATCATTTGATGTAATTAAGTCAAGTCTGATGCCAATTCATTATATTATAATAAAAGTTTAAGGGCTGGAGCGATAGCACAGCGGGTAGGGCGTTCGCCTTACAAGCGGCCAACATGGCCGACCCGAGTTCGATTCCTCCGCCCCTCTCGGAGAGCCTGGCAAGCTACCGAGAGTATTTGATATGCCAGACACAGTAACAACCAAGTCTCCAATGGAGACGTTACTGGGCCCGCTCGAGCAAATCGACGATCAACGGGAGGGCCTTTACCTTCTCTTTACCTATAATAAAAGTTTATTAAGAAATATTGAATTGACCTGTATCTATGATCTCAAATATAAATGTGCACCATTATGTTTTGCTTTAAAAATTCACTTCATAAGTCTGTATCCTTTTTTCTTTCAGAAATAAGTATTTAAACTTACCAATTTTGAGGCTGGAGTGATAGCACAGTGGGTAGCATGCCTTGCATGTGGCTGACCTGGTTTCGATTCCTTCCTCCCTCTCGAGAGTGTAGCAAACTACAGAGAGTATCGCATCCACACGGCAGAGCTGGCAAGCTCCCCGTGGAGTATTTGATATGCCGACTACAGTAACAAGTCTCACAATGGAGACATTACTGGTGCCCGCTTCAGCAAATCGATAAACAACAGGAAGGAGGACAGTGCTATAGTGTTACAGTGCTAAAATTTTAAATTATGCCATGCACATAGTTCCAAAGAAGAAAGTATTTTAACTCAGGAGAAAAGGTTATGTACATGGACATCTAGAAAGATAGGAATTAAAAGCCCAGGACTTGCATGTTGCCAAACTTTTTTCAATCACTGGCAAAAACTAACCACATCAGAATAACCATATTATGCTATTTTTATTTGCTATATTTCAAGTTGCTATGCTCTTTGGTATAGATACTAAATTTTTATACAATAAATAATTTTTTAATCTTTGATTAAAAAAAGGGCCTCCCGTTGATCATCGATTTGCTCGAGCGGGCTCAGTAACGTCTCCATTGGAGACTTTGTTGTTACTGTGTTTGGCATATCGAATACGTCACGGGGAGCTTGCCAGGCTCTGCCGTGATTAATGATATCAAATATATACTTTTAGATCCTAAAGAAAAATGTGGACTTCCTCCAGCCATTGACAATGGAGACATAACCACAATGCCTTTAAAAGAATATGCTCCAGGATCATTAGTTAAGTACCAATGTCAGTCCTACTACAAACGATGGGGCAATAGTACCATAATATGTAATAAAGGAAAGTGGACAATACCAACAGAATGTTTAGGTAAGTATTTACATTTTCTCTTGCGTCCTGAAAAAAAATTAATGTGAAGTTCTTTGTTTCAATAAAATTTTCATGAATTAAAAAACTAGTGCTCTGTTGAATGTTTGGTGATTATTATTATAGAAGAATATAAAATGTTCTTAGTTAAGTAATAAAGGCAAAGAAAGTTTCTTTAATGAAAACTCTTATTAAGATGGGCCAGCTTGATAGCATAGCGGGTAGGGGGTTTGCCTTGCATGCAACCACCCAGGGTTCAATTCCTCCATCTCTTTCAGAGAGCCTGGCAGGCTATAGAGAGTATTCCGCCAACATGGCAAAGCCTGGCAAACAACCCTGACGTAGTCGATATGCCCCAAACAGGAACAACTAGTCTCACAATGGAAACATTACTGGTGCCCGCTCGAGCAAATCGATGAACAATGGGAGGACAGTGCTACAGGACAGTTCTTATTAAGATATTTGACATATATCTTTAATTCATTTTATTTTAACAAATTAAACTAGTACCATTTTACTTGATTCACAATTTAAATAATTTCAATACATACAATGTATTTTGCATTGTGTAAAAGTGTAAAATGTTTGATATTTAATTCTTGAGTCAGTGAAGACTGTATTTGATAGTCTGAAGTTAAGTGGAAATTTCTTGTATACTCTTAATGTCTTATATTTTTGCCTTCAGATCCTTGTGTAATATCAAAAGACATCATGGATAAATATAATATACAAATACAAGAGAGAAGAGGAAAAGAGATTTATTTTCAATGGGGAGAAACTGTTAAATTTGTAAAATTGTAAAAGTGGGTATCAAAAACAGACTGAACAGAAATCATTTTGAGCAACCCGTATGAATGGAAACCTGACATATCCAAAGTATGAATAAAAAATATTTGAAATCTTATCTAAGCAGTCATAAACTTAAAATATGTACAATTATTTAGACTTTTCTTCATTAATCCATTCTTCTTAACTTTACTTTCAAGTGTAACCTAACACAATTTACTCAGAAGTCAGAATTTATGTAACCTACTATGTTGATGCAATTATAGTCTCACGATAATGATCACGACCATCCTGTTATTCATGCATTGCCTCGAGCAGGTCCCAGTAAAGTCTCCTTTGTCCTAGCCCTGAGATTTTTCAAAAAGTGCCATATTTAAGGTCTTTCAGAGTTAGGAGAATGAGACCCACCATTGTTACTGGTATTTGGCATATTGGGTACACCATGGGGAGTTTGCCAGACTCTGCCATGTGGGCAGGTTACATTCGGTAGCCTGCCAGTTTGTCCATAGTAGGAATGGGATAATAAGATGTCATAATAAGATGTTGCGCGGCCGCAAATGCAGTCGCGCGGTTCTGGGAGCTGTGTGATATAGTCTCTGAGTCTTGGCCGCTGATGGGATTACACGGCCCCAGGGTGCCAGTTGGTGGGTGTGACCCCTGCCTACTGGAATTTGGAGGATCTGGGTGGAAGATGCTCAGCCCTGATCTGAGTAGGCTTCGAGATCTCAGCCCCGGGACCCTCATGCCTTTTGTTCCTCTGCTGGTACCTTCATGAGTGGGGAGAGTGGTCTCAGCATGTTGGTGGCTGGTTCTGGAGGTCTTCGGCTGCCGGAACCCTGGTCAAGGCAGGGAGGGAAACTCAACCCACTCCCCTCCAAGGGACCCTGGCGAGGACAGCCAGGCGTGGGGGCAGGAGACTCATTATAGTCTCAGAGATCCATAAATCACATTACAAATGTGCCACATTAAAATTTTGTGAAACGTGGGCCTGAGGTGATAGAGGTTAGGGTGCTTGACTTGCATGCACCACATATGGTCCTTGAACTTGCTAAGAGTGATCCCTGAATGCAAAGCATGTGTAAAACCTGAGTACTTCTAGGTAGGACACAAAAATAAATCAATAAAAGTGAAACGAAATGTGCAGTTTGCAGTCATGTAATACCAATGTTTAAAAAATTGATGTATAACCTTTACTACCTGTTTTTAATTCATGATTTTCCTAGCGTTATAAAGCCATTTTTCTATAAACTCTAAGAATTTGAGACTCTCTAATTAAGTAGAATTATAGATCTATGTCTGTCTTTGTCTTTGATATATCAATGCATGAACATGTAAAACCCAACTTAAACCATAACTCTTGGTTTGATCCGCAGCATCCTATAAGGTTTTCTGTGCTTGCCGAACATTATACCTGAGCCCATAACCTGGTGTGGATAAATAGGAAGCTAAATCATATCAATGTTAGCAATAAGAAGTAGCTCTCATGTATTTCTGGATCTGGACTCAGGGATCACTTTTAACCAGGTGCAGGAGACCTTATGCAGTGCCAGCAATAAAACTTGCATGTAAGGTATATGCAAAGTAAGCACCTTACCCATTTTCCTATCTGTCCAATCCCTTATTTTTTTCTTTCTTTAAAATAGTATTATCAATTTTATTTCAAAGTTCTAGAATAGAAATTAAACATGTGTCCATTATTTGACTTGAAGTTCATGTTGAAGTATTTGGAAGAAATTTTAAATTTTAAGCATTTGTAGTTATCAACCATTTTTTAAATTTCTTCAACTATTGAGTAATAGACCTCAATGACTTATTCTTAACCAAACACGTGTACTGTTTTTGTATTAAATAGTGTTATAATTAAATACATTGTTTACAGAATCAGATTTTAAACTTAAAATTTCTTTCCATGGGGTTCCATTGAGATTCACCTCCCATGGACGCTGTGTAGACATATGAGGAAATAGTGGATAGGAAATTTCCAAGTAAGAAATTTGTGTTGCTGATCACCATGATAAGTACATAAATTAATCTGATATAAATTATTCAGTTTATTATTGAAGACTTAATTGTCTTGCATTACAAAATTACTAGTATTATGAAATAATTATAGTAAAATTAATAAAGTGGTTCACTTTGCTTGTGGATTTTGTATGAATCACCTACTTGAAATTTTTCTATTATTAATTGCATTTTTAAAATTATAGAAATGAGCTCCTACATTCATAAAAAGAGTAGGAAATCATTTTATCAACTGACTATATTTACCCTAATTTAAATAGAGCATCAAATAATATTAAATAAAATTTAATTTCAAGAAAATATTGAAATTTTAATATTTGACATTGTGTTCTAATGTAAGTTTAAAGAAAAAGTAAATGTGCTAATTTCACCAAAATTTAAAGTGTAAGAAAATTAATGAGGACAGAAAAAATGTTTTATATGTCCGGTAAACAGAACTATGATAATCTGAATGAATAAGGGATACAGGTGGGATGGGCTAGAAATAGTCAAGTCATCAAGAGTAGTCTGACTAAAGAAACCATGGTATATGTAACACAATGGAATACTACACAGCCACCAGGAAAAATAAAGTCATGAAATCGTTTATAAATAGATGGACATGGAAAATATCATGCTGAGTAAAATTAGTAAAAGGAGACAGACAGATATAGAAAGATTGTAGGATATAAAATATTGTAATATGGGGCTAATAACAGACAGTAAGAACAAGGGCCGGTAGGACAGGTCCATGGACAGACATTTGCCACAAGTATAAGGGCTGGGAAGGATCCCTTCTTGGATAAAGAAGGGACCAATAAGACAGAAATAGCTTGAAATGATCATTGTGGGCAAGAACTGAGTGGTAAAAATAGGGAAAGAAATATATATGATAACTTCTCAGTACCTATATTGCAAATCCCAGTGCGCAGAAGGAGAGGGAAAGAAAGAAAGGGAGAGAAAGAGAGGGAGAGAGAGGAGGAGGAAATTGCCTGTTATAGAGTAGAGGTGGGCTTGCATGGGGGTAGGGGGAAGACAGAGCAGGTGGGGAGGGTGGCTGGAGGGTAGCTTGGGACATTGGTGACAGGAAAAGTACAATGGTAAAAGGATGGCTTTAGGAACATTGTATGACTGTAACCCAATGATGAGCAAGGTTTTATGTGTGTATATCACAGTGATTCGATTAAAAAAATAATTTTTTTATTAGTGAAACAATATGAGGTACAGTTGTAGAATTACAAATTTTCATGCTTGGATTTCAGTTATACAATTATCGAGTACCTATCCCTTCACCAGTGCCCATTCTCCACCACCAATGATCCCAGTAACCCTCCCACCCCCTCCACCCTATCCCCCCACCCCGCTCTGCCTTTGTGGTAAGGCATTTCCTTTTGCTCTCTTTTCTTTAGGGTGTTGTGGTTTGCAATGGAGGTATTGAGTGGTCATCATGTTTGGTCTGTAAACTTTCAAGCTCTCATCTTACCTCCCAGGCAGATCCTTCAAACATCCTTTCCTTGGTGTTCCCTTCTCTATCTAAGCTTACTTTTCCCAAAGCATGTGCTGTTGGCTTCCAAGCCGTGGAGCAGACATCCTGGTACTTATCTCAACTATACTTGGGTGTTCATCTACCCTTCTGTTATTTCTATTCCCCAGATGAGTACAGTTTTTCTGTCTATCCCTCTCTTTCTGGCTCATTTCACTTAGCATGATACTTTCCATGTAAACCACTTGTATGCAAATTTCATGAATTCATCTTTTTTTTATTTTTGCTTTTTGGGTCACACCCAGCGATGCTCAGAAATCACTCCGGGCGGTGCTTCGGGGACCATATGGGATGCCGGGGATCGAACCCAGGTCAGCCGCATGCAAGGCATATGCTCTACCCGCTGTGCTATTGCTCCAACCTGAATTCATCTTTTCTAACAGCTGCAAAGTATTCCATTGCACAGATGTACCAAAGTTTCTTTAACCAGTCATCTGTTCTTGGGAACTCGGGATTTTTCCAAATTTTGGCTATTGTGAACAATGCAGCAATGAAAATACAAATGCAGTTGTCATTTTGACTGTACTTTTTTGCCTCTCCGGGATATATTTCCAGGAGTGGTATTGCTGAGTCAAAAGGGAGATCAATTTCTAATTTTTGGAGAATTGTCCATATGTTTTCCAAAAGGGCTGAACCAGTTGCCATTCCAACCAGCAGTAATGGAGGGTACCTTTCTCACTACATCCGCACCACACCGGTTGCTTTTGTTCTTTTGGATGTGGGCTGGTCTCTGTGATTGAGGTGATATCTCATTGTTGTTTTGATCTGAATCTCCCTGATGATTAGTGATCTGGGGCATTTTCTCCTGTGCCTTTTAACCATTGGGATTTCTTCTTTGAGAAAGTTTCTGTTCATTTTGTCAGACCATTTTTTTTGATGGGGTTGGATGTTTTCTTCTTGTGGAGTTCAACCAGTGCTTTGTGTATCCTTGATATCAACCCCTTATCAGATGGGTACTGGGCGATTATCCTTTCCCATTCTGTATACTGTCTTTGTATTCTGGTCACTGTTTCTTTGAAGCTTCTTAGTTTAAAATACTCCCATTTGTCTATCTCTGTTTTCACTTGCTTGATCGGTGGCATCATCTTTGAAGATACCATTAGCTTCAATGTTGTGGAGTGTTTTGTCAACATTGTATTCAATGTACCTTATGGATTCCAGTCTGATGTTGAGGTCTTTAATCAATTTTTATGTGACTTATGTACATGGTGTTAGGTAGAGATCTGAGCCAATTTTTTACATGTAGCTGTCCAGTTTAACCAGCACAATTTGTAAAGGGGCTTTCCTTGATGCACTTCACATTTCTTGCTCCCTTATCAAAGATTAGCTGATCATATATTTGGGGGAAGGGGTGTCAGTATATTTAACCTTGTCTGCGGCTCTGCCTTTGTTCCAGTAGCATGCTGTTTTAATTATTACTGCTTTG